CTGACCATCATGACAATTTACCTTGTGTTGAGGCTAAACCCATCTCTCCACAACTTCTGCAATTTGGTCCTTCTTCCCCTTGTGACCACACAAACAAGCCTAATTCATTGTCTTCAAGACAGCTCTCTGGAGAGTTGGGTCAGGTCTATGGATCTCTCTTAAAGGGAGGTCTTTCCTTCCCTTGTTCAGGTTAACACCTCCCATCCCCTCAAACATTACCAAAAGGAAATGACTTTGAATTTCTTCACTCTCATCATCCTTATGCTCATTCTTCTCCAATCATTCTCCACTTCTATTTATTAACAAAAACTTAAACTCCCACTACATTATTGTTAATTACAGGGACAACGTTGCACACATCTCTAGTGTTTACTAATCTTTCATAATTTAAACTTTATGCCTATTGATTAGCAACCCCTCATTCTACCTCCCCGCAACCCCTGTGGCAACGACCATTCTACTCTCTGATTCCATGAGTTTGAATATTTTACATAGCTCTTCTAAGTGGAATCGTGCAGTATTTGTCCTGTGACTGACTTATTTCGCTTAATGTAATGTCCTCAAAGTTTAGCCATGTGTTGTTACACATGGCAGCATTTCCTTCTTTTTTTAAGGCTGAATAATGTCCAACAAGTGTCCTTTTTCTAATTTCCTTTTAAAAGTGTGGCTCCCAGAACTGTTCACCAAGCTCTGAGTTTCTCTAACCTACATAAAGAGTGAGATTATCTCCTCCTTTACTTCATTAATTATAATTTTCACCTTGCTTCATTACCCTACTGAATTGGAAGTCATCTAAAGCTATGGCCTTTTCTCTTGTTCTCCTGCTAAGCTGTGCCCATTCCTTACTGAGCTTCTGTACTTGTATTTTGTCCCTAGGGTAGGATGCTAGTTTTCCCACCTGAATCTCATTTGGCTATGTTTGGTCTGCCTATCAACCCATTCTTCTGAGGGTTTTGGGGATCCTGATTCTTTATCTGAGTTATCTTTGGCTTTTCCTAGTTTTTTCTTCTGGGTGTGATACACTAAGCCTGGCTGTTGAGCCCATATCCAAGGCATTGACGAAGGCTTTGGCTGAGGCAGGGCAGAGGCCAGCAGGCCATCAAAGCTTCTCTGTAGGACTGTGGGACTCAAAATCTGGTCCAAGATGCACTGCATAGGAATCATCTTTAAATATGCCAAATCATCTTTAAAATACAGATCGCTGATGACTCAGAAATACAGAATCACCATTGATAGAGGTGGGGCCAAGGAATCTGTATTTTTAATTAGCACTCAGATGATTTCATTGTGTAGCCAGGCTTGGGAACCATCAACTCCAGAGTTCACTGCCTTCAAAAGCCAAAACCAGCGCCAGTGTGATCTAGTCCAAAGCTGACATCTCAGGTGTCCAGCCTGATGAGACAGGGGCAGAGCCATGACAGCACTGCCTGGTTCTATAAACATAATCCACCCATGTCACAAACCCATCTGGGCAAGTGCTGTACAGTTCCTCTACGCCTTTCTCTGCTCCTTTCCCCGCTGCCTCCCCTGCTCTCAGCTTCCTTCCCTCTGGTTCTGTGTCTTGGATTTTGGAACCACATTTGAGCTCCTCTGCCCCCACCCCAGCTTACCATGGGCGCACTGTAGACAGCTCTGGGTTGGCCTCCCCAGGGCTCCTGGAAGATTCCTCTTCTAGCCCTGGTACTACACTGACACAAATGATAGAAATTAGTCTTCATTTAATAGATTGTCCTCACCTGCTGGCTGCTCAAGGCCCTTATTTATTCAGATTCGCATCATATTCCTATTAGTTTTGTTCCCACCGTGTCTACATTTCCCAACACACAATGTGCTTGGGTTGGTACATAGTAGGTGCTTACTGAATTGTTCTGGCTGACAGCAGAATTCTTCAGTCTGATGCAATCACTGGAATTAGTGAACATACCACAGGCTTCTGAACAAGACAGACTTAAGTTTGAATGTCAGCCCCAGCATTTTTCAGCTGTACCACCTTACACAAAATAATTAACCCTCATGAACGTAGGGCATCACAACTAAAAATGAGAAGTGTGGGCTGGGAGCCCGAGGGCACCAGCTCTCACATTGTATGATGAACTCACATACCTGCCCTTCCTCAGTGGTACCCGGCTTCAGGGTCCTCAGAAAGTAATTCTTAGCAGTCAAGTCATGCTTTTCAAATCAAGCTGCTGGAATTCTCTTCTCCCAGCCGCACGTGGCAGGCTGTTGCAGACCCTCCTGAGCATAAGCACTCCACACGCGTCCTCCAGCCCCCACTAATCAGCCAGTCCCGTCACTTTAACTCGGCAGCACTCCACCACTCACCTAAGTAATTAATCTGGCTTCTGCCTGTGAATTCCTTTCATCCACTTTTGTTTACTACTGTTGAAGCATTTTTTTAATCAAAACAATTAAATATGCTAAATCTTCCCCAATTAGTAATGCATTAAACACGAAAGGTGCTTGAACAGAGCTGGTAGAAGAAGCCCTTTGCCTGGTTTTGAGTACTGGTGCTTAGAGCATCGCTTCTCCCAGGCAAGCAGGGCTTGGGGTTATTCAGAAACTGCTGTGCCCAGTCACAGAGGGCTGCGGTGAAAGGGGCCAGTCCACTGGACTCTCTCCATAAATGGGGAACTGAGGCCTAGTGAGATCATGGGCCCTTTCTAAGCTCATACAGGATGTCAGTGACAGGGATTTTGTTTTGGATTTAAAAAAAAATAAAATTTGTATATATTTAAGGTATAAAACATGATGATTTGATATACATATACTATATAATAAAAGCCTAGTATGCAAATTGTCCCCTTGACCCAGAGTTCGACCGCTGGCTATGATGTGCACTGACCACCAGGGGGCAGTGTGGAACATGGTGGGTGTCGGTGATGCGGCGCTGGCAGCAGGCGGAAGTGGAGGTGCTGCCAGCCCTGACAGGCCCCAACGAGAGCAGGACTGTGGTGGGATGGTGGAGCAGGTGAGCAGGCAGTGTCAGGCCAAGGCACATGTGAGCGGGGCCCAATTGCCCCACCGATCACCCCACAGACAGTGACCAATGGCAGTGGTTGCGGGGGGGCTGCCGCCCAGCTCCCAGGTGCTGAGGGTTGGGGGCCCAGATGCTTCCCAGGGCCCAGAGGTAGGCTGGGACATGCCCTTCCAAACCAGACACTTGCACTTTGATCACTGGCCAGGCCTAGGGACTGCACCCATACATGCATTTTGTGCACTGGGCCTCTAGTTTGATATAAAAGGGAAATGATTACTATAGTCAAGCTAATTTACATATTTTCTCACACATTCACCTTTACTGTGTGTATGAGGAAGCACCTGAAGACTATTCCTTTGCAAATTTCCAGTATTGAATACAATATTATTACTGTGGTCCTCAGGCTGTGCATTGGGTCTCTGTGCTTTCTCAGTCCACATAGCTGCAACCTTGTTCCCTTGGACCAGCATTGCTCATCTCCACCTCCTGGTGCCCCCTGTCCTATGCTCTGCTTCAATATATAGGGTGCCGCCCTAAAATGTATATACACACTCTGAATAATTATAAAGACAGTGTTTATTAAAATACATTTCATTTTCAAAATTGAGCTATCAGCAGTTAAAGTATGTATACATTTTTTGGGGGGACACCTTGTTAGAAGCAGAGCCTGGAATATACTAATATATATATATATATTTAAAGATCCATTAATCTGAGTGACAGATTTGAATTCAGGATTTCTGACTTCCAAGATGCTTTCCATCAGAAGCCCTTACCAAAGGATTGATTCATAGCATTCATTTACTCACTCATTTTTTTTTATTCCTCAATCATTATTCTGAAAATAGTTTCTGAACTCCTCCTCCATGGCAGACATTGCACTGCTATGCTGACAAGAGAGAGTGGTGAATAAGATAAAATTTCTTGAATTCATAGAGTTTGCAGTGTAATGGGGATGCTGGCAGGTAAAACTGGTTGCTGAACACTCCCTTAAAGAAAATATTCAATCTAATCCTCAGCTCAATTGAATCATAGCCCTAAATGATTTTTCCTTTGTGGTTGTCAGGATAACATAATAACTGGTAATAATTATTATACAGTTGCAATTAATTAAAAGTAATGACATTCCAAAACTACAAACTCCAATTCACAACCATAAGAAGATTTTGCTGCAGAAAGAGTTGAGCTCTGCAGCAACGGTCCATGTCTTGCTCTGATCTGCTTTTCTAGCCCCATCTTGCCAGGCCAACCAAAGGATGGCAACCCAGCTCTGTCCATTTACAGGGTGTGAGATCAGGGCAACATGACCTTACTGTATTGAGAAATATGTTCCGCATCTGCAAAGTGCAGGTTCCTTAGCGGGACAAATAACAGAGATGTAGACAAATACAGAGATTGCTAATATGGGACTCACAGTTCTCCTGGGGTCAGAAGGCAGGCACACTCCCCTTGGAGACATCGCTGTCTTCTAACAGCACTCTGGCCTCTCTGAGGTGCAAAGAGAACCTGGGCAAAAAGAATCATGACAACTATGATCGTCCAGGTGCAAACAAAGCACACTGGTAGATCTGAAGAAAGGTACAAGTATTCTGATCCAAAAATGCTTCCTGGAGTAAATGATGTTTGAATTGGGGCTTTGGAAAGATGTTGAAAGGGAGAGAGAAAGGGGCAACATGTGCAAAATTACAGAGTGAAAATGGGCCAGGCACTGTGCTGGGCACAGAGGTATATGGAAATGATGAGAATCACTGCCCCATGGAGGCGCAGGGGAGAATGTGCAAAGGAAAGGGAACTAGCATTTTTGAGCAACTAGTCTGTGCAATACATATTCTTTCTCATTTCAAGAATTATTTGGGCTGAAACCACATGGAAGAGGACATGGAAACTGGATAATGGAATTGGATTTCAACCCAGATTACTTAGACTCCAAAACCAATGGCAGCTTTTACGACTGTGAGAGGTTGTACCATAGTAGCAGTCATTCAGCATCACAGTGCTCTTCGTTTCTGTCTCCCTGCTGCAGGTGTTACCTATGAAGACATCAAGAAGTGCTTTGGAGGGTCTTTGGGCTTATCTTATACCTTTTCGGAGAGCTTAGAGATTGGAGGAGGTTTATCAGGGGAAGATTGTAGAAAAATGGGAGGTGGCCACGCTGGTAAGTATTTAGTAAAGAGTCTCCCAAGAAGCAAAGCCAGACTTTTCTTTGGACACACAATCAAGGCACATGTCCCCCAACCCCCAAGTGGTTTCATTCCAGTCAATGATCAAACTGCATAACTTCTAAATACCCCAAGTCAATGACTGGACTGGCTCTATTTTTGAATCCACCATAGGTTGAGATTACCTTAGAAATACTTGACTTTGTATGGCACATGCTCCTAAATTTCAGGCACTAGATCAAGAACTAAGTGAGACCCAGGATGAAAGAAATGTATAGACAGAACCTGGAAAACAACTGTTGAAATAAATGCCCATAGAGATACAGTCCAAAGGGGAAAAAGAAGTCCCTGAGAGAGGAGCATTTGGTTACTAAGTCCAAGCTCAAAGAATAATGATTAAGGGAAGATTGTACAGGAATATTTGTGGCATTTCCTGAAAAAGTCAATATGAGTGTTCATGTATTCATTCATTCATCTATCAAACATGCATTGAGCATTTTTTTTCAGGTGGGAGACAACAGACAATGCAGGGATGATGAAACAATTTACAGTGCAGTGGAGGAGGTAGACATGAGACAGGTTCAAGTTACTCCCCTGGCATTAGGCTACTCATGCCTCAGAGCCTTAGGTCAAACTGCTCTTCTTTCTGATGCCCTTCCATCCTCTCTCCATTTCCCTACAAAGATTCATTCACTTTTCTAGAAAACTCAATTTCTTCTTGTTCAGTCCCTCCCCATCCTGACCATGTCTTTCCCTGCACCCCTACTCAGCCCCACAGAGACCTTCACTGTTTAATTGAACATACTTGGCATATAGCAGGCACTGAGTAAGCATTTGACAGGTGAATGAATAAATGAATGAATGATCATCCATTTCCCACCCTCTCCCTCCTCTGTGTTGGGCTGGGCTGTCCTCCCATTGCCAGCTCTACCTCAGAGGAAGGCTCTATTGCTAAGTCTTGGTCCTTCTCTTCTGCTTTGTCCTGTTAGTTAACCGAGCAAAACAGAATGGACAACAGCTCTAAGGACAGCACATAAACTTTGTCCCAAATATCATTAGTGGCTCTTGTGAACCCATCCTTTGGCTTTTTGGGAAATGAGCTAACGCCGTTATCCTCTTGATAGATACTGACGAAGATAACAGGCTTGTGCAAGACATCATTGCTCAGGTGCGAGGTGGCAATACTGGCTGGGGTACTGGCTTGGCACACAACACGAGCTTCATTTCGTACCGTTCCTGGGGGCGGTCGTTAAAGTATAATCCTGCTGTTATTGATTTTGAGGTAAGTCTTTTCGCAGTTGAAGAAACTCTACGTCCGTGAGGAATGAAAGTGAAACAGACCAGATCATTTCATATTTCTTATGATGAGCCCATCAAAGAGTAAGATTAAATGTTAACGGTACACTGAACCGGTGGCCTCCCCACGCCTGACTCTAGGGAGTGTGTGACTAGACCCAGGCCACAGGAGAGCGGGGCCAGATGCGTTATATCTGGTTAGTGCCCAGTTTTACACCAGTCATCCCAGAATTTCTTCAGGATTGGGTGACATTAAAAAATTTGCATTTATACATATAAGACTTAAAAACACATCTGCTAAATTGGGGTAGGCACACTTTTCCATAAAGGAGCAGATAGTAAATATCTTAAGTTTTGTGGGCCACATCTAGTTTCTGTCATACAAGTTTTATTTCTTCTTGTTTTTTTTACAACCTTCTAAAAATATAAATCCCATTCATAGCTCAAAGGCCATATGTGGGGTGAGTTGTCCTGAGCTGTAACTGTAGTTTGCTCTAAATGATCTCATCCCTTCACCACAATGAACCCCGGGCAAGGCCTTGATTCTCCCCATTGAAAAGATTAGGAAACTGAGGCTCCAAGGACTTAAGTGATTTGTTTAAAGTCTCAGAGCTCATATGTAGTGGTACCTTGATCTCAGACCTTTGGATTTCACATCTGGTTCTCATTTTCCCTCTATCCTATTTCCTTCCTTAAAGTCATGATTATCAATTACTGGGGACAATTTTGCTCCCATGGGGGAAATTTGGTAGTGTCTGAAGACATGTTTCACTGTCACAACCAGGAGGGTACTACTGGCATCTAGAGAGAGAGGTCAGGGATGCTGCTAAACATCCCACAACAACAAAGGACAGCCCGCATCACAAAGAAATATCTAGCCCTCAATGGCAATAGTGCCAATATGGAGAAACTCTGCCCTAATTCCTAACCTTGCAAAGGGAGTAAAATTGTACTCAAACTTAAAATAGGTCATGCTTTTACCAGTTGTCAAACTAATTCTATTTCCTTGCAAGGGTAATCCATTAAAAAAGAGTTATATTGGGGGATTTAAAATAAAATATGATTGTTTTCCTGTACACTTTCTCCTGACCCTGGCCAATTTTCTACACATAATTAAAACTTCAGGTAATGGATACATCCCTCTTCTTAAAATATATATACCAACAGTTAAATCTAAAAGTCTATTACAACCCTGCTCTCTATGAAGAAAGAGGTGAGAGGAATGAACCCTGATTTTATTTCTTCTTCAATAAGTCGGAGACCATTTTCATACACCTGTAATTCACATAGGGTCTGAAAATTGCTATCATTAAGCTATTAGTGATTTGGGGAAAAACTGTAAAATTGATAGCAGGAGTAATATACAAACTTTCATGGGCAAGAGGTGAATTTTGCATTTGCCTTGAGCAAAACATCCAAGGGGAGGACCAAATGATTTGGAGAAGACTGAATGCTATCTTCTGGGAAAGACAGCCTGGGTTTGGGGTGAGAAAGTAGATTTTGGCTCATGGCTCAGCAACTTTTTGATGTATAACCTTTGACAAACAACTGTTTTCTGAGCCCTATTTTCCTGCTCTATAACATGGGGATAATGACACATTCTGTCCCAAGGTTGGGGAGAGAAAAGTGAGCGCTTAGGAGATGTCAGTTGAGGAAACAGGTTCATGGAGGTTAAGTGCGCTGGCCAAGGCTCATGTCTGGTAAATGACTGAGCCCAACTGGAGCCATGTCTGACTGAGTCTAACACCCACAACCACAACCTATATTACCACCTAACTAGTTTGGATTCGATGCATTAAGCCTATTGGTGGGTTACAGATCAAGGAAGTGACATAGCTTGAGCTGTGCTTTAAAAATAGAGAATGCTTACAGAAGTGTGAGGGATGAATGGAAGGAGAGAGACACTGTGGGCAAGGGGCCCAGTGAGGGGGTTATTTGGAACCTGATGATCAGCATGGAAACAGTTACTCACTTGTGCATCCCAGAGCTCATCAGTACTTATTTATGGCAGATATTTAGAGTGAGTAAATGTCGGAATCATGCTGTGTGAAATGGTGATGCTGTATGTTATATATAGGATGTCCCCTCAAAATGTATATACACACTTTTGAATAATTAGAAAGGCAGTGTTTATTAAAATACATTACATTTTCAAAATTGAGTTATCAGCTGTTAAAGTGTGTATAGATTTTTGGGAGACACCTTGTATTATTATGAGTTATGTGTTAGGCTATTTTGTGTTGCCATATCACACCACTTGCCTTCTCTGAATCTATTTTCTCAACTGTAAAATGGAAACAGCATTCTGAGATTCTTTTTCTCCACCCCTCTTCCCTCCTGTAAGTACCCCCGGCATTAAGGAGTGCTCCCTTTCCTCTCCCTGAAGGCTCTGGGAGGGAGAGGTGAGAGACCTGGGACTGAGTGCTAAAGTTCGCTGGAAGGTCAAAGGGAAGTTGCCTGGTGGTCCTGGGCTTTCCCTGGAATTAAGTCACCTTAACCAGGCCCTAGGGCGGCCCAGGCAGCACTGACTTCCTCACAATGGGCCATGGTCCTGGGACTTCCAGTAAGTGGTGTCCTTCCCTTGGCTGGAGGCCCAGCCAGTCCTGCCATGACCAGCCTGATGACCTCAGCCACAGCCCCTGAGCACAGGCCAAGGTCTGTTGCCACAGGTCTCTCTGTACACATTTCCAGGAACCCATTCAAGGCTATGGCCATTCCCTCCATTGACTTTGGTTCCAGAGAAGGGAGATTGCTCCAGCATGGCTCAGTCCTCTCATGGAATTTCCCGGTGATCTTAGCAAGCGATTCCCCTCTCAGGGCCTCAGGTGACTGTCCTGTAAAATGAGAGATCTGGAAAAGAGCTTTCCTTTTATGATTGTGTGATAAAATATAGAGCTTTATGAAGCATGCTGAAGGTAACCATATGTACACAAAAATTGAAAAAGATAGGCTTTTTTTTTTTTTTTTTTTACTATCGTCACAACTAACTAATAAAATTAGTGCTTTATTTTATACTAGAGGCCCAGTGCATGAAAATTCATGCACTGGAGGGGGGGTCCCTCAGCCTGGCCTGCCCCCTCTCACAGTCCGGGAGCCCTCAGGGGTGGGAGGCAACCCAGTGATCAGGGGAAGGTGATGTCCCATCACACCTCTGCTGCTGCCACTGCCAGCAGCGCAAGCCTTGGCCGGCCCTGGTTACCTGAGCCTCAGTTGGCACTGGGTGGCTGGGCAGCTGACAGCTGAGGCTTGCTTGCGCCTTGGGCCAGCCCTGGTTGGCTGGGGGACTGAGGGGACTGGTCACCGCCATCTTGTGGCTGTGGGCGCCGCCATCTTTGAGGGTGTGATAGTCAATTAGCATATTCCCTCTTTATTAGATAGGATTGTTCTTCCCTTTTGCAATGGTATCTCACATCCATTACTTCTTTAGATTTTCATAAGGATTCTAGGAAATGGGTTATTATTTCCATTTTGTAGGTAATGAGGCTCAGGCTGAGAAAGGAGCAATTAGGAGTTCTAGCCACAAAGCTATTAGGTGAGCAGCGTTTATTTAGCTTTTACTATGTGACAGGCCATGCCCATCCATCAGCTTTCATCCTCACAGTAAACCTGGAGGGAAGGACTCTTGTTCTAACTTTACAGAGGAGGAAGGGAGACTCCACGGGTAATGTGGCTGAGATCACACAGCTGGGTTTCCTCCTCCAGCTTCCAGCTCTCCACATCTGCCACAGTACTGCCCAGCCAGGAGGAGTGACTTTGTCCCTGGGGACATTTGGCAATGTCAGGAGACAGTTTTGGTTTTCACAACCAGGAGATGCTGTTGGCATCTAGTGGGTAAAGGCCAGAGATGCTGCTAACCATCCTATAATGCACAGGAATTGCCATGAAGAATTATCCAGTTGGAAAATCAGTAGTGTAGGCAGAGGCTGAGGAACCCTGGATGCCAGTCATGCCTGGAATGGGTTGCCTCAAATGGAAATGATGCCCACCTTTTCCCAAACATGTAATCAGCAATGACAGAATAACTACCTATCAAGGACTTGGTTAACTCCTACATTGAAGGTTAACAATCAACACACACACACACACACACACACACACACACACACACTCTCACACAAATCCTTTCCACTCTTCCTGACTCCTAAAAGTGCTGGAGGGGGCAGATAAGTTGGCACAAATGGCTTTTTAAAATATACATATATATTTTTATTGATTTCAGAGAGAAAGGGAGAGGGAGAGAGAGAAACACCAATGATGAGAGAGAATCATTGATCAGCTGCCTCCTGCACATCCCCCACTGGGGATTGAGCTCGCAACCTGAGCATGTGCCCTTGACCAGAACTGAACCTTGGACCCTTCAGTCTGCAGGCCAACATTCTATCCACTGAGCCAAACTGGCTAGGGTGAAATGGCTTTTGAGTTCCCCTCTTCCTCGAAGATCAGGGGACCAGATATTTCAGAGTTAGGTAGGTCTATGTTCAGAGTGACTCTTGCACGTAATTGCGTGATCCTGAGCTGGTCACTCACTCCTGAGCCTCCACTTCTGCATCTATGGCAGTGGTTCTCAACCTTCTGGCCCTTTAAATACGGTTCCTCATGTTGTGACCCAACCATAAAATTATTTTCGTTGCTACTTCATAACTGTAATGTTGCTACTGTTATGAATCATAATGTAAATATCTGACATTCAAGATGGTCTTAGGCAACCCCTGTGAAAGGGTCGTTCGACCGCCAAAGGGGTCGCGACCCACAGGTTGAGAACCGGTGATCTATGGGTTCCACAGAGTGGCTGCAAGGATGCAGTGCAGGGAGATGGTGTGGAGCCTGGCTCTGTGCCTGCCATGGAGCAGGCCTTCCAGGAGTTTGATGGCCAGCACTTGGGTTCTGGGAACTTGGATGATCCCAGGGAGAGCCTCTGTTCCTCTGTGCCCAGACACAGCCTATTCATGAGCTGCTGCGGCACGTGAACCTGGAAACCCTGGAGGCCAAACGCCAGAACCTGAAGCGGGCCCTGGATCAGTACCTGATGGAATTCAATGCCTGCCGCTGCGGGCCCTGCTTCAACAACGGGGTGCCCATCCTTGAGGGCACCAGCTGCAAATGCCAGTGTCCTATGGGTCGCAAGGGCCTTGCCTGTGAGCAAATTGAGCAACAAGGTAAGGCTTGTGCATCCTCACTCAGGTCCAAACCCGGCCCAGCTCAGAGAGGCCAGTGTGGGAGGGCTTTGGGGTCCCCAGCCTCTCTGTCCTGTGCCCTCTTGCCCCCTACCCTAAGAACGCTCATGCTGAGTTTTATGGCTGACCCCACAGTTAATGGTTCTTATCCTTGCTCTCTGCCATCAAGACCCTCTCTTGGATGAGAACTGGTTTTCACCAAAGTGTGTATGGTCAATAGGGTTCAATTTTGGAGGAATGCATTCATTTCCTAGGGCTGCTGTAAGCTCAGTGGTTTAGAGCTACAGAGCCCAAGGATTTCTTGACTTTTCAAGCAGAGTGTGGATGGGATTTCAGCCCTCATTGGCCAGGTAGCTTTCCCAGAGGGACCAAGGTCAATGAGTAGGAAGAATAATTCACCCTTATTCTGTGCCAGGCACTCTCCCCCAAGGATGTTATGAGAGAAATACTATTAATAGCCCCATTTTAAAAATGAGGACACTGGGGCAGGAGGAAGATGAGATAACTACTCATGAGCAGTATCAGAGCCAGGCTTTACACCCAAGCAGTCAGATGCTAGGATCCAAGCTCTTAACTGCTGCATTCTACTGATTTACATCCCAAGAACCAGGAAATCTAGAGAATGAGGGCAGAGATTCTGAGATCATTGCACTGACTACCATTGGGGGGGCAGGGGAGGTGGGGGCGGGGAAGGAAAGTATGTATGTCCCAGTTCAGTTATCAGCCTGACTTGGCTTAAAGAGACAAATGTGAGCCCAAGCCTGGGTAAGTATAATTATAGCACGTCAAAGGACCTCAGAACCAGTGACTTAATTGGATCCCTGTCCACACAACATAGAGACAGAGAGAACAGGGAGTGGGAACTACCTAGACATGCTTTTCCATGGTCCAGTGCTGGGCTTAGAACTGGTCCATGCTGAGTCATCTGTACATACAATGTGCATTGGAGTTGGGTGTCATGATGCCAATGATGGGGTGATGGCAGGGCATGGAGGCCTGGGTACTTCTCCTCACAGCACCATTCCTCTCACACGATTACAGTCAGTCAACTGCAGGAAGCCCGTGGTGCTCCATTGACTTTGTACCAAGCAGGGTGGGGGCATCAGGTGGCTTTGGGGCTATCAGACTGAACTTTCAACCTGACAGAGATCAATCAGCATTAAAAAATCTAAGGCTGGGGAGTCAGCCTCCATGGAGACTCATTGAAGCAGGTCCCTTGAGACTTTCCCAGCAAACCTTTGCCTGTGGGGACCAAGTCACAGAGGTGGAGAAATATAGACGAAGAACCCTGCTGTGGCTGCCCCACCAGGGAGTATAATTACAGACCTAGAAGGAACTTGTAGATAATCTAATCCAATGAGAGTCACACTGGGATCTGAGGGAACTGGGGACTTAGGGGCTGCCCCAGGGAAGCAGGGAAAACCTAATAGACACCCCAGCTTCAAATAGAACAGCTCCACTCTCATCTGACTTCCATGTTAGGGCCCATAAAAGATTTCATTTTAGGAATAAAAAAATAAATAATGAAAAAAGTAATGATGGAAAAACTGCACCAGATTAGTCCACCCTTCTCATTTGACAGAGGTGAAAACTCAGGCTGAGAAGGGGGATGAGCTTGCCCACAGGCACAGAGCCAGGAGGTGACAGCAGCCCCAGGCTAGGGGGGTTGCAGGATGTCACCACCTGCATTGACCACTGGATAGTGACTTCTAGCAGCTGAGAGTAAATGCCCATCAACATGGACTTTTTCCTGGATTTCCAGAGGCACCTGGTCAGAGCCTGTGTTCTGATGCTCTGTGCAGAGAGCCTGTCACCCACCCTGGCCCATTGTCAGAGCCTGAGGGGTTTTGATTTGTAAGCCCTCATTCAAATGCCCAGCAATGCTCTCCACACCAGTGTCTGTGAATCCCCAGCTGGGCTCTGCTCCCTGCTCCTCACACCCTCCATGGCTGTCTTTCTTCCAGAAGGGCATGCCTCCCCGCCTTACTCTGCTATCCATATTCCATGGAACCACGGACTCCAATTTCATGAGAGGGGCTCCCAGGGGCCTTCTCTCCATCCAGAGTTTGAAATTAAGTGCGAGGCAGCGAGCATAGGTCTTGGTTGGCTCCACCAAGGCATTTCCCCAAGGAGAGATCGCAGACTACTCTAGGGCAGCGGTGATCCTCCCTCCATAGGGTCTGAGCTGCTGCTTGTATGCTAACCTCCTTCTCCCCTGGGAAATGTTCTGTGCAGGAGCCAAGGCCGAGGGTCGCTGGAGCTGCTGGAGCACTTGGTCTGCTTGCTCGGCAGGCACTCAGGAAAGGAGGAGAGAGTGCAATAATCCTCCCCCCAAGAATGGAGGCCGCTCGTGTCCAGGGCGGAACGTGCAGACCCAAGCTTGCTGAGGGCCTCTGGGCACAGGATGGGACACATGCAACAGATGTCACCACCTGCACTGACCACTGGATAATGACTTCTTGCAGCTGAGAGTAAATACCAATCAACATGGACTTTTCCCTGCTGGCTCCCAGGTCTGGGACCAGGCTGGGCCATCTACAACCAGCAAAATTCAGTCATCCAACAACTAGGTGTTAAGTGTTAGCTAGTCTTGGACCTGCTGACAGCACTTTATCATCCAAAGAAAAGGAGAAATCTCAACCCAAGGTTAGGGGTACAAAGCAGACACAGGCTCTTGAACCAATCAAGGCCAATAAAATAAAGTATGATGAGAATTATCTTGGCTCTTTGGTAATATTTGTTCATTCATAGAATGATTAGCTGGTAGGATAAGCAGACACAGTGAAATAATGAGGAAAAAAAATAAAGATTGACTTGAGTTCCTTCTATTTTCCTTCATTTTGACTCAACATTTTCTTGTATTCCTTCAATTAATGTCTTGTTTGCTTAAGTTCTTACCACAACATCATGTTTCTCCCAATTATTTTGTCACACTATTCTCTTCCTTCATTGGGTTTTTTACAATTAGTGATTATATATTGGTGCCCATGTCTCCAGTGACTAGGACCCATCTGCCCATCTTAAGGGCAGGGATTAGCTTTGTTTGGTTCCGCACTGTATCCCCAGAGGCCAGGGCTGTGCCTTCCATGGGAGGGACCTAACAAGTACCTGTGGATGAAGTGAGGGACTGAGTTCAGGAAACAGTTCAAAAATGGGGTCCATATTAGTCAGGCACCCAGAGTGGAGCATAGATTGGAGGGGCCAACCAATAATGATCGGTCCACCTTCCCTGCCACACCTGCGTGGCAGCCAATCATACCAGCCAGCCTCAGTATCCCACAGCACTCCAGTCGGGACGTGTTGTGTTGCACTGACTTTTCTGTTTACCTATAAGTTTCTCCTATAGATTGTGAGCTCCTGAAAGGTAGAATTTGTATTCCCAGTTGGTAGAAGAAACATGTTTCCAGAGTCCTTCTATCCTTCCAGAATCTTCAATCTTTATAGGGTGATAATAAGACTTATATAGACATGATACAATTTAAATGGGTTTTAGGGACACAGGAAATTAATTGTCTAGCTAATGCCCAAATATGTGGATATAAAATAAGTGCCAAGGGAGGCCAGGTCGGGGAGAGACTGGTCTCTTTGTGTGAATTTTATAGAGAGGATGATGGTGAATGTAAAGAAATAAGTTATATAAAATACGTAAAACAGTGCCTGTCACATACAATTTTATTGGCATCACTCTTAATCTTATTATTGTTACTATTATTAATTAAAAGTTATAGTTTAAAAGTTTATTCCTGAACTCTTTAGATGTTCTATCTGAAATAAGAAAAAAGAATACTCCTTTATTGTTTCTATTCCTGCTGTTAATTTACTTTTTAAGTAAGTCTACACTAATAACTAATTTCCATTTGTTATTTCCTGGGGAGGGGTGGTTACATGCTAGAATGGGAGGCCAGACTGGCCAGGCCAAGAGAGCAATTTACAGAGGACATTTAAGCTTGATCCCAAAGTTGTGGTACTCAGTCTTGGTTGCACATTAGAATCACCTGAGGAGTTAAAACACTGCTGTCTGGAGGCTGCACCCCAGACTAATTAAATCCGAGCCTTTGGAGGTGGGAGCCAGACATCAGTAGCTTTAAAAGCTCCCCAGGTGGTTCCAGTGCTGCCAAGGTTGAGGGCCTTGGAGAGTCCAGGAGGCATTACATGGGAAATGGGGTATGTGACCAAACAAAAGGGCAGCCACGGTAAGGTTTGTCTGTTCTATTTTATCTCGTCTTGTCAAGGAGCTTGTAAGGTTACATCAAGCATATGCTCCTCTACCTATGTTCTGTGCTGTCTACCAGTGGAGGGTATAGGATGGTGTGTGGGGTACAGGGGAGAGAGAAGAAACCAGAGGCAAGGGAGCCCCTTAGGAGGTAAGTGTGGTCATCTAGGTGGGTGGAGCTGAGACTGTTGGGATTAAGCAATTGCCTGGATCAACTGTGAGCCAAGACCACGAGCTGAGCAATGCCATCTACCTGTCATCTGAGCCAGAGAACCCAGGCCAGTGCCTGTGCCCCTCCTCTGAAGGTGCTGCACCTCCTAGCAGATTGAGAAATGACAACACAGCAGCAGTGGCACTTTCAACAGCTGCAGCCCCTCACCGGTCCTGCGCCTTCCCCTCTTCAAGAATGCCTGGCTCTCTCTGAGAGAAAGACAGAAAGCTCGTCCAATGGATTCTCCCTCGGGTCCTTTCAGGAGATCTACAGTCTAGGTTTTATAGGCAGCGGATGTAAAAACATGGTTTAAAGATCTAATCTTCAGCTTGACAAGGTGTCTTTTGAAAAGTAAATTAATGGCAGAATGAAAAGCAATCAGGAGATGCTTTTTCCTTTTCCCCCGTTTGAGATAGAGGAAGATCTAAAGCAATCAGCACTCAATGAATCTCTTCTGAACTCTATGCCTTTAGGGTGAAGAAAATGGACAGAGAGAAAGGGTAGGTTTCAAAAACTACACTGCAGGAATGAGAGATGGCAGCATGAAGCCATCAGGAACAGCGCGAGGAAAGGGCTGTGATGAGGATGAGCAATGGGCCCTTGTTCTCCATGAGGACCATCGAGGGAGGCTGCTACCCCTTTGCTCAGGAATGAGTGAGCTCTTGGCCAGGCCCCGTGCTGGGTGCTGGGTGCTGGAGGTACAGAAATGAATCAGACATGGTCCCGCTCTGGAAGTACGCTTGGTCTGGGGGAGGCCTGTGAACAATGGCAGGAGGGGTACCAGCAGGAAACCCAGGGACTATGGGTACAGGAAAGACAGCCTGGAGAAGGAGTAGATGGCCAGAGAGGACGAGGAAATAAGCAGGAGTTAGACAAGCAAAGGAAGATGAGGAAATAGCTTGTGCAGTCACAGAGGTGGGAAATCATGAAGGTTGGGGACAGTTACTGCTCAGCAACTGGGCATGGGCCCTGGACATTCTCAGGCTGCATTGGGACCTTGAGTTTGGTCACTGGGTCTTTCCTGAGGGTAGCTGGTGCTTGGTCCTAGGAGATTTCCATAGATACACACTTGTCAGTCATTTCCCTATTCCCCCCAAGTGTCCTGGAGGTTCAACACCCCACAGCCATTGTTATAAGGCCCGAGCATTCTGAACTGGATTCACAAGGTTGTCTCTGATCTGACACAATGTACTGCTCCATCTGTACCTCCCATTTCAGACTCTGTGAGTCAAATGCACTAAAAATCTATCGTCCCTAGAATGATCCACAAAGCCCCGTAATGACCAGCCCTTGGCTCTCTCTCTTTGTTTTCTTCCATTTACTCTTCTTTCAGTCATGCTGCTCCAGCTGCTCAAGTCTTTCTGCTGTTCCTCCCACATGCCCAGCTCTCTCATGCCTCAGGACCTTTGCACTTGCTGTCCCCTCTGCCTGAAAACTCATCCCCTAAATGAGCTCATCCCTAAATGAGCTCACCCAAGACTTACTCCCTCTTTTCAGTCAAGTCTCTGCTCAAATATTACCCCTCCAAAGACTTTACCTGCATTTATGTCTTATATGGTACTTATTACTACCTGAGGAAACATACCAAGGGTTTATCCTCCCCCACCTTGGTATATCTCCCCCACTAATATGCAATTTGTTTTTTCATGGCTAGATTTCCAGTAGCTACAATAGTATTTGGCCTTAATAGGGGCTCAATAAATATTGTTGAATGAATGAACTACTTCCAATTTAGTTCCCTAATAGGTTGGGCTTTGCACACGCTACCCAGACAGCATCCTCACCTGCCAGCTCCTACCTTTTGTCTTTTCACCGAGGGTCTTCAGGGTGTAGTTTAGGTGTCCATGCGCCCAGAATGCCAACCCCGACCCCTGCCATTCTCCCACACTGCATCAGGTGCTGCCCCTCATATGGCTCTATATCACAGTATTTTACATACTCCATCACTGTAGCCTACTTGTCTTCTCTTATCCTCCCCCACTCCATGGCTTCTTGCAGGGTGGATGGGGACCCAAATTTACTTCTGGAGCCCCAGCATCTAGCATACATAGTATTTGGAGCTTCCCAGTAAAATTCTGTTCTCTCTCTGGTCCTTCTGTGCTAGAGCAGTGATTATCAACCTTTTTCATCTCATGGCACACATAAACTAATAACTAAAATTCTGCGCCACACCGAACAATATATTATGCTTTTCACTGATTTGATTTAAAAAAAGGTATAATTTTGATTGATTCACACTGGATGGCTATTTTGTTGACTGTTGTCATTTTTTGACAATTGGAAAAGAGATCAGTGCCCCTGACTAAATAGTCAGGTAGTGCTGTTTTAAAAAATCTTGGGGCACACCGGTTGAAAATGGTTGTGCTAGAGGGAGAGGCTCCGAAACAGGCTTTGCATGTAGTGTGCAGAAATCTGTGGGAGAGAACCCCACGGAAGATTTTTCCCCAGGACCCCAGGGTCCTGCAACCTTCTGGGTACATAGAGGAGAGCCCATGCCATCCCTACAGGTTACACACATTTAAGAAAGAGCCTGCCTTTTCCACCTTAGTCAAGGAGAGTCCATCAAATCGAGTTAAAAATTCTGCATTCATGGCCTTGGGGTTTTCCCCCAACCCCTGGGAAAGATAAAGGAAAATATGTTTCCCTTCTATATTAACAGCTTAAAATGTGAGATAAATCCTACCATCCTAACCTATTTTTAACAAATGGACTTTGCTGTCCAGTGGCATGATACATGTCTGACGGGTCTATTTATCCATTCTATTTCTTTAGAGATAGCAGCTAAGAAGTTTTATCTATTATTTGTCTCCCTCCCCTATTCCCATTTTCCTAACCAAGCCTGTGGAGCAAGCAGTTGATGGATGGATGGTGTTTGGGATAAAAGGTGCCGGAATCAGATAGTTTTCAGGATATGAACAAACTGGCTTATTAACAAGGAGGCCCGTGTGGCAGAGGTGGTGGGGGACGGAGGCCTGGATACCAGACAATGGTCAATGATGGATGAAGGAACACCTGGGGTTGCAAGGTGTAGACGCGAGATAACCGGTGGACACAGCCACTGATAATGGGAGCACCCAAGCTCCGGAGCAGCCTCCTGCACAGAGGTGAATGTCAGACCAG